CATGCTTTCCTTATGCTGTTTACTGTCTATTTGCCAGCAACCCCCCTTCCAGAAGAGTTTGAGTTGCAAGGATTCCTGGCTCTGAGGCCCTCGTTCAGGTGGGTGACAGCTGAAGGATCCTGCACCCTTGCTGATGTCACAGCTTCTACAGACATCAGACTGTTCCTTACAATATCTTATTTTTGTATATTTACTGCTGTATTGATTGGTGTTGGTCTCTTCAAAACAACTGCAATGGATGGTGTGGCCCTGAGAAATTCTTGAGGTTATAATATTGCTCGTGACCCTGCTGAACCTCTTTAATGTAGATGCATCTTACCAGATGAGAATTACATGTGTAAATCAGACATCTCTTAACAGCCATGTTTTGAATAATATCTGGTGAAAGTTCAGCGCTCTTAATAGAGCAATGCTGACACGTATTTCTAGAAAAATAGGATATTGCAGAGGGTAATTGTGTAATTATTATTCCCTCTTCTGCGTCAATACTAGGAACTTGGATTTTTCCAAAGGCCACCAGGCAATTACAGGGGATAAAGAAGGGCAGCAGCGTCGGATACGGCAGCAGCGCCTGATCTTCACAGGCAAATGGATTGCTGATAACCAGCCAAGGTAATTTGTGTTTTCCATGCTACTAGAAGCTGAGGTGACACCGGAGCCAGTGTGGAGTGTTATTTTTCTCTCTGTTCAACACAGCAGTTAGCTGTAATGTGAGCACAAGATGCTGACAGCAGTAATAATATGTTCTGTGGGTCAGCATGCTATTCCTTCACAGACTGATTATGATAAGTAATGTAGTGTGTATACTTGCTTTTTGATTCCTTGCTGTATTTTTCAGGTTGATTCAATGTGAAAACGAGGTAGGAAAGCTCTTGTTTGTGACAGAAATCCCGGAGCTCTTACTGGAGGACCCTAGTGAAGCCAAAGAGAGTCTCGCCTTGCAGGAGATGTCCATGGCAGAGCCAGTGTGTGCTGATGGGAGCCCTGGACTCAAATCAGTGCTGTCCTCTGGCAGAAGCCTGAGCAACAGCTGTGATGCAGGGGAAAAACCCATGGTCACCTTCAAGGAGAATATCAAGCCTCGGGAGATGAACAGAGAACAAGGGCGCATCTACCCCCCAAAGGACATAGCGAGGGAGAGACGGGACTTTAGCAAAGGAATAGTAGCAAATAAGAATGATGGGAAGAAGGATAACAATAAAAGGAAGACTGAGACCAAGAAATGTGGCTTGGATAAGATGCAGGAAGCAGGAAAGCAGAATGTGGCAGTTCAGGTAAGCCTTTAGCTCAGAGGAATACTGTGCTTAAGACAGTGTGGTGGTGTGTCGGGACAGTCACTGCTTGTGTAGAGTATGATAGAGCTGAGGTCTTGCTGTGGGCCCTGCAGCTGCAGCTAATGCTCAATAATATAAAATATTTCTACCTCCATGACCAGGTGATGGTGATCTTAGCATCTCTTTGCTTTTCCTTGATGCTAGCTCAAAAAAGGAAGGAGAGAGGGAAAAATAGTGCAATGTGAGGTGCTATAACTGTCCTAAAAAACAGATTTCTACCCATTCCACAAATTATTTTGCCACCAAGGCAGTTCACGTGGCCAGGTCGTAGTCATGCTCTTGCCATTGTGGTGTCTGTTGTGAAGGAACTGGATACTCTGTATTTTCACTTCAGTTGACTGGTGCACATTCAACAAACTGAACACGTCACAAAAGCACTAAATTGTATGTATGTGGAGTAAGAGCCTCTGTAGTGTGGGTGCAATCAAGTGTGTCTCTGTCAAAGTAAGGAAAGCTCTTAAATTGTCAATCTGTACTCAGACAGTCAAAATGGTTTGTTTTCCCATCAGCTGCTCTTTTACTGGTTATGTTTTTTAGGGGCACGCTTTTTTATCTATGTCTTTGAGCATTACATATGAAATATATCAAGTAAACAGTGAATTTGTTGGTCTGCCTTCCACTGAGTCATAGTAAATGAGGGTAGAGAGTGTCAGGGCTGATCTGATCTGTACCTGGACAATTTGGCTGTATCTCAGTCATTCCCTGATGATGACTGGAACCATTGAACAATAGTGATGGAGATTTCTGTTATTTCCCTAGAGAAACTGTGTTTGGTCTTCACTGTTCTTGCAAGTGGAAATTATTTTCTAATAATGTGCCTTATGTCCCTTGCCTCTGTATAAGACCATTACGGCTGCCCAGGACAGGAATGCAGAATAACGCTTCCTCTTTGCAGCTGCTCTAAAGGCCTATGCCATTGAGGTCTTTTCCCCAGGCTAGACAAACCATCTCTTTCAGTTTTTCCAGCTTTTATTGTTTAGGAGCCTTGGATTATTCTCTCTGTTTTCCTCCTGATGATTTGCTGTTAAACATCATGGTTATGAAATGGAATGTCTGAACTGGCAGCATTATGCAGTTGGTTTTGCAGGGGAGCCATACCTCAGGGTACCAAGGGTTTCTGTAAAGGCTACAGAAAGCAGGGGCAATAGTCTGTGAGTCGTGGAATGATTCTGGTATCTGAAAACCAACATAGGTGAGTTAGAATAGAAAGTTTCTTATTTATTTGTCAAATGGATCTGGAATGTCATTGCAGGTCTGAGCATAACTCCCAGTTTTGATCTTTGTGCCTGTCTTGCAAAATAAGGACTTCAGGTGGATAAAAACCTACCAGATCTGAGGACTGCGTAGCTTTCTGGATAGGGATGATAGCTAATTTATCAGAAATTTGCTTGATTTAGTTTTAAGATACAACAAACCCAGCTGTAGCAGAATCTGCTCTGATGTTGTCTGTTATTGTTTGTCTCTTCTTGAATAGAAATTATTTTTGGCTTTTTAACTCCAGTGAAATGCCTTTTATTTCATATTATTTGGTGGGCTTGCTTGTCCAGACCTGCTCCAGAACAGAGGGCGGGCTTGCTTCCCCCCAGACTGAGAAACCAGGGTAGGTTTCATACCAGTTGTTGGGCTGTTTGTGTTCTGCTTTGGCACTCCTGACAATTTCATACTTTATTTCCTATGTAGTTCATTGCTTTCAAAAGCTTAAATGCTGCAGTTCCTGCTGTGCAAAAATGTGAAGAATGTGGTACAGAAGTGATCAGTCCTGCTTTGCAGATACATGGGAAACTTGCATGCTCAGGCAGGATGTGACCTGGATTGAATGTCTGCTCTCTAGGGAAGATAATGTTAGGAGCCAAGGAAGTTCAGTGCAAACTAACTCAACGTGTAGCAAACTCTTAAGAGGTCCCTGTGATAAAATGGTGTCTCTCTCAAGCACTGTGTAGGAGCACTTAGGGCTATTGTGGGGATACGTATTAGGTAGCATTGATTCTTCTGAGGTGATAGCAAATAGAAGCAAGGAAGGAACTGAAATTTATCTTGATTCATTGATTTTAGTAATTTATGTTTTTATAAAGATAACTGTAAATCATGCAGGCAGCCTTTTGGAAGCCGTCCTCTGGAAATGTGTTATAGCATACTTGAGTTTTTGATGGATAGAGCTCGAGTTTTAAAATGCCATGGCAGGATGAGTGTCTATGAATTCTCCAGCATTTCTGTAAAAGAATGCACAGTGCTTGATATGGGTTATAAAAATATTTGGCTTATTGTGGAGGGAAAAGGGACAGCACAAGATAAGTTAAATATGCTGAATGTGGTGGAGGGTGAAGAGATGCGACATGAGCAAGGCCCTACATAGTTTGTGGTGTTTAGCATCAGCCAGAACCTTGAGGTGGAGTTCCCTCCAGACTTTCTAGTGGCAAATGAAAAATCCACCCAAACATCCCAATTTTACAAATGCAGAAACAACCCTAGACTCCCATAATTTCTAAGTGGGGCAATTCACTTTGAAAAAGAACTTAGGATATGAATGCATCTGTCCCTTTACTACTGTAATTTGGCAGAAAACGACTGTCCTGTAACTCCTTTCAACTCAGCAGCACTAAATGTCTAAATAAACTCCACACAGTTATGGTGTGGGGGTTATTTTTGTTTGGTTAGGATTTTTTTTAACTTGATCCCTGTTACAACCCTTTCTTTCACTCACCTTTGAGGCTTGGTGTCAGGTCTGCTCCTGGGCCCTTTCTGTATTGCCCGGGTTCCTTGCTTGCTGTCTTTTTCCTGCCTGCTCCATCTTGCATTCCAGGCAGTTCTGCCGAGCTGAACAGAAAGGGAAAGTAGTCTTCCCCTCTGTCTTCCTCCCCAGGAAGACCCAGACCGCGGGAGACTCAGAATAAGGTAAACATTACATTACATTCTTCTCTCTGCCTTTAACTGGTGCAGCTCTTTTAACATAACACCCCACAGTTACACAGTAAACTGAATGAGGTGAAGTACTTCTGCTGTTTGTCTTGAATGCTCTGGGTCAAAAGAATTCCATGGTGTGGAGGAGTTTGTGCATATGGATCACCATATGGATTAGGCTGAGAAAACTCCCCAGGAAGAATGTGGCAGTGTTTGTTTTCTAAGGTGCTGCAGGTAAGTAGCATAATTTAGGTTGAAGCAGTGCCCTAGGAGAAGCATAGGAGCATCTGCACTTTTTGTTTTTAAACACTGCAGGTGAGCAATGTGGTAAGTTCCTTGGATGGTGTGAGATACTATGGCTGCTTTTCACTCTCATGCTCGAGAAGGAGCCTCTTGCATCTTCTGAGTAAATATCTTTGAGTGCTTTTGTGAGGCAAGAAGTGCCTGAGGACATGCAGAGTAATCTGCCTGAGGTTAGTGAGGAGGGCTTTGTGTAGGGAAAAGAAAATAATTGCTCAGACAATCTGAGAGCTTAATTTTTGGCTTGTGGCATCATATGGTTAATGTGGAAATTTAGGACAAGTGATTTAATTTCTTCATACTTTCTTTTGCATCAGGTGAAATCCCAGACAGAGATGAGGAAGACTCCAGTATCTGAAGCCAGGAAAACACCTGTAACTCAGACTCCAAGCCAGGCCAGCAGTTCCCAGTTCATCCCTATTCATCACCCAGGAGCCTTCCCTCCCCTTCCTAGCCGGCCAGGTAATTTGCATCATTCTTTTGAAGTGTCATTTATTGTTGACAGAAAAAAATCCTGTAATAGTGGTTGGTACAGCCTCTGGAAGATAGGGGCTCTGTTAATGAACGTGAATTTTCCTGTTGAACATCTTATCAAATAGTGAAAAGGGGCATAGCAAAACTGAAACAAGATAAATAAGATTCCTTATGCTTTGGAATTGAGGTTTGCCATGAAATCTGCCACATGCCTTCTGGTTTAGTGGGTGTGAGATCAAGGAACTTCACACTAGGCTCTTCCTGTAGTTAGTCTGAACATGACAAAGCTTTCTGCTAGCACTGCTTCTGAGGCTTTCTCTGTGCTTCAGACTCCATAGCAAAAGATCAATCACACTGCTTGCTTTAAAACTCACTTTCTTTTGTAGTGGTGCTCATGTTTGAAGCTGTAATTTGTGTGGTCTTACTTGTTGCTGTGTTGTGTGTCCCATTTTGCTGTGGAGTCTGCCTGTCATACCTTGCTATCCATGTTTGCTTGTGGAATAACGGGAAGCTGTGCCTTCCCTGCACGTGTTACATGGAGCTCCTCAATATAAGACAGATGGGCATCTTCCCTGTCCCAAGGTCAGCATAAAATCTGACCTGTGAGACACAGAATTAAAGCTTGCCTTCCAAACCTGGCTTTTCAGTGTGAACTACAGGGAAGGAATTGATCTTACAGATATGAGGATTTGTTTGGTTACCATCTGTCTCTCTCTAAATTGATCCAGCGACTGGTGGTCCTCTGAGAGGGAGCAGTACACATATACTGTATTGATTGCTTCTGTTTGTTCCTGCAGAAGTTTAGTCCCTGAAAATGTGTTTGAGGGGGAGGAAACTTTGGGGGTAAAGCATCAAAAACCCAAGAGCAATGAAAGAAAAAGGTAGTAGGAGTTGAAAAAAGCAGGGAGATTGGGAGGCAGGGACTACAGGGATGTGGAAACATATGATCCTCAGATATTGCCATACTGACTGCTATCAGTGCCTGGAATATTGCAAGAAAACTCAAAAACGAACTTGGAATTCTTGTGTGTTCGCAGCCATGCACATGCCAAGGTGAGGGACGACATTGTAGTGCATGTGTGCAGACTGGTGCCACCTTTCATAAATAAAGAGCATAGGAAGAGAACCCCCCACTAAAAGTTTTCTGGAAGGAGTTGTATGCTCTGCCAAATTGTGATTAAAGTTGCATTTTTTATCTTTTCCAGGATTTCCTCCTCCAACCTATGTTGTCCCCCCTCCTGTGGCTTTCTCCATGGGCACGGGGTACACCTTCCCAGGTGGTGTTTCTGTCCCAGGAACCTTCCTCCAGCCCACAGCTCACTCGCCTGCAGGAAACCAGGTGCAAGGTGGGAAACAGTCCCACATTCCTTACAGCCAGCAACGGCCCTCTGGACCAGGGCCAATGACCCAGGGACCTCAGCAAACACCACCTCCTTCCCAGCAACCCCTCTCATCTTTACCAGCTCAGGCAACAGCACAGTCAGCAAGCCAGTTACAGGTCCAAGCTCTGGCCCAGCAGCAGCAGCAGCAGTCCCCCACGAAAGCTGTGCAGGGCCTGGGGAAGAGCCCACCACACCATTCTGGATTCCAGCAGGTAAACTTGGCCTGTGCTATATGCTGGGCTTTATTTAAAAATAAGTGGCAATGTTCAAGACTTGTCTTCCTGGATTACCTTTCCAAATTGTCATTAAAGAATTTTTTGATTGTGAACTTCTGAGCAAATTTGAAAATGAGCTGAAGTTTGGTGGTTGTGAGCATATGATGCTGTAGCTGAAAGGAAGGTATGTACTGGAATGGAATGTCTTTTCTGTCTTCTATTTGCTGTGTTTCTGATAAAGACAAGGTATGGAGATGGTATGTCTGTCCTACGCCTTTGTAGTTTTCTTGTGTGAGTGCTGAGGACTGAGTGTGGACCTCCACCTGCACTCTCCTTTTGGCTAACTGGTTGCAGTGTCAGTTCCCTTACAGCTCTTAGTCCCTTTGCTTACCTTGTGCTGGAGAAAATCTCCCTTCTGGCAAATCTGGACCCAATGGTGAGACCCTGCTTGTGTTCTGGGCAGCAAAATGCTGGCTCAGTACCTTACTAAAGGTTTAGTTTGTAGATTTTTGGGTTAAAAGGTACTGGATATAGTAAGTATTCTACTTGGCTGTCGGTTTAAAGCTTGACTAGAGAGCATTAGATGCCTATGGAAATTGCTTTTGATGAATAACACAGACATTCCACAAACATTCTGATTTGCTATCGTGCATGAGCCAGCCTGGCAGCTTGGATAGAGTTAAGCATTCAAGTAACATGAATTGTTCCTCCCTGCTGGTGAAATCCTGTGTCTCTGCCTCAGTATCCACAGACAGACTCGTCGAAGCAGCTCTGGAACCCCCCTCAAGTCCAAGGCTCCCTGGGGAAGATCATGTCTGTAAAGCAGCCCTATTACCTGCAGGCCCAGGACCCTCTCAAACTCTTTGAACAGTCATTACAGCCTCCTGTGATGCAACAGCAACCTCTGGAGAAAAAAATGAAGCCTTTCCCAATGGAGCCATATAACCAGAACCCCTCAGAAGTCAAGGTGCCAGAATATTACTGGGACTCTTCCTACGGCATGACGGACAACAGGGTGATGACCCAGCAGTCGAACATGGACCGCAGGGGGAAGCGGCAGGGAGTCTTCCGCTCCGAGCAGGATGCTGTCTCCAGGATGACCTTTGAGGTGAGATCCATGCTACAAGTGGGGGAAACTAAGGCTCTGGTATTCCTGGCAGCTCTTGGCATTTTCCTGTTTCAGGAATGCCCTGTGGTCCCAAGTAGGTCAATGTAAATTTATTTGGAAGAGACTGAGCGTCAGTACCAGGGGTACCAGCACAAAGTGACGAATTCCTCATTTTAGTAGGCTGTGTGTAGTATCAGTCTCTTGAAGATTTGGTTTCAAGTAGAGGTCTTGTTCAGTGTGGGTGTGACATCTATCTCTGTGCTGTGTCTGCCAGGTCGAGAAACATGGCAGCTGATAGTTTTGGGGAAGATTGTTGTCTGGCAACTGATGAAAAACATAAAAGCCCCCCAAATAATTGCAGTTGAATTATTACACTTTAGATGAGCTCCTAACACTGCTATAGTGAATTGAATGGCTGAGGCTGCGATAGGTAGAGCAACCAAGAACGGTAGCAATAGTCTTATCCTGGATTTTTTTGTTTGTTCTTCCTGAAAATCCCACCACACTGAGAGAGCTAAAGGTCTTCCTTAGCTCCTGGTTGCAGTAAATGGAATACTTTGCTTCTGTTCATGCAATCGTGCTTTATGCTGGTGTTTATAAACCCACCAATCTCTGTTATTTATTAACAGCCCTGGAGTTGTCTGTGAGTGCTTTTGGTGATGTTTACAAGGAGGTTTAAACAGAGGCCTTTTAAACCTTCAGTTGGGTACGCCTCTGTAAATGCACTCAGGACATGGAGAAGTTCAGGTGATATCTCTTGGCTCATCCTTCCCAGAGAAAAGCCAGACAATGTACAGGAGTACAGTGTACAGACCACGTACAGTACTATGCTGATGGCAGGTTGTAGTTTTTAGATGGAGACAGGGTCAAAGCCTGGTCTTCATTCCTAAAAGGGAAACCTTGCCAAGGTCCCAGCACATTGTGCTGCAGAGAGAAGCTATGCCTGTGATGCTTGTGCTTTAAACATCCCTCACAAAAGTAAAGATGTCCAGTCTGACCAACACTGAGCAGATTTTACTGGCCATGGGGGCTGGTCAGCTGTGGGTTGGCATAGCAGCTATCACCAGTGGAAACAAGTCTCATGGGATTTTAACTCCACAAGCAGAGAAGAGATGATACAAACATAATTCTACTTGAAACCTAAATTACTCACAGGTCAGCTGTAGAAGAATGACTGTAAGATTTTGTTTGTTGTCTGTGCACGTGGAAGCAGGTTCAGTATGTGGCATGGATGCAAGGGGAAGCAGACACTCTGCTGATTAAAGCTCCCTGCTGTCACTTGGGTGCGTGGTCCTCTCCCCGTGTGCATTTGGCACAACGCGTGGTTGTGTCTGCTCAGAGTTCTCTGTGTGTGCCTCAGCACCATCCTCACCTCGCCCTCTGCATGCTGCCTCCTGCCTTCCTCTCGCTGTTCTCTCTCCTGCTCTGGCTGTTCTTTCTGCCTTCTGTTGTCTCACTGTGCTCATTTCTGTCACTAGGACCCCAAGAGCTCCCCTCTGCTTCCTCCGGACCTGTTAAAGAGTCTGGCTGCCTTGGAGGAGGAGGAAGAGCTGATTTTCTCTAATCCTCCTGATCTTTACCCAGCTCTGCTGGGGCCTCTCGCCTCTCTTCCTGGACGAAGCCTCTTTGTATGTATTTGATGTAATACTGCTGCTTCTTGCTCTTAACTGGCATCTTTTTCTTCTGTGAAGTTATAAGAAATGTGAAAATCCTTTCTCTCCCCCATACCTCCTGTCTACTTTCCTGCCTTACCTTTGAGCTAGTTTTCACAGGGTGAAAACTACAGCTTTTGGGCTGAATCCAGGCCTGCTAATTTGTTCAGAAATCAGAGTAACTGGGGTTTTTGTGAGTACAGTCCACAGGAGAGGTGTTGATGCATTATGATACATAATTTAATGCACTTGCTCTTCTGCAGTTGTATGGGTTTAGTAATAAAAGGCAGGGGGAGACACTGATGGGGCTGTGGGAGTCATCAGAACCAGGGTGTAGTGACAGAACAAGGGGAGTGGCTTCAAACTGACAGAGGATAGGTTTAGATGAGATACTTGGAAATTTTTTCCTGTGAGGTTGGGGAGAAGCTGTGGCTACCCCATCCCTGGAAGTGGGGCTTGGAGCAACCTGGGCTAGTGGAGAGTGTCCCTGGGCAGTGGGGTGGAATGAGATGAGTTTAAAGGTCCCTTCCAACCTAAACCATTCTGCAATTCTGTGATATGGTTCTGTGATTATAATCTGCTTATAAAAATTCCATAGAGGTAGGGGGATGCTGCCCTGTTCAATGCAGAAGAGATTAATAAAAGCGAAAGATGAATTTGGAAGAAAATAGCAATTAACTGGATAAATACACAGTAACTCTTATAGAAATACAGTCATGTTTGGCAGAGGGATTTTTTTCGTACATTTTTTGTATTAAAACCTTCCTAGTTCACTAGCTGGGGGGTCTCAGAGCTATTGAATTTTTAAATTGCGTGTGAAAGTGCAGCATGCCTTTCTGCTATGGCTACAAGCATGTTCATTAGATCATACTCATTCAGATTACTTGCTGTAACAAAGAATTAATTGTGGCTACTCAACATCTCTGATTAAGTCTCTTCCTCAGTTATTTTACCTGCCATCCCAAGGAACCAGTTGCAAAAAGATACTAATTTCTGTCTCATTAGATAACTTTGCTAAGAAACTAATAGCTGCTGCTTTAGCGGCTTCTTTTGAAACTCCTACTGTTGTGTCTGCTGACAAATGGAAAGAAATCCTTTGCTGTGCAAGTCATGTGGATATGCAGAGTGGGAATTTTGTCTGTCTTTTAAAATGTGCTTTCAAAGTAATGAGCTGTCACTTTGAAAATCTAACAAGCTAGGGGCTGCTTGCCAAGAAAATGAGGCTGTTTGTCTTAAGTTTACAGGATGAAAGCAAAAATATTCCAGGTACTGTGGCTGTTCTAAAGACAGAGATACTAGTTCTGTTTTTTGTGGTTTGAATAATAAATTTTAAAACATCTGACATGCTGAGCTGGTGAGACTACAAGAGAGGGTTTATTTGTAACAAGACTACAGCTTTTATTTTGGTTCACGCACATTTTTACTTATGGTTTTACTTACTAATTCTATGGCTTGGTGATCCAGATCCTAGATTTGGTGATGTTCATTGTCTACTAGCCAAGCTTGTAATTT